TTCCGTTTATTTTTGTGTCCCTGCCCTTTCTTACCTCATAACGGGCTCTGCGCTCGAGTAGGTCGATGGGAGTTTGTCCTGATACCATGTAAAGTGAATCCCACGACGCTGTGCGGTATGCGCTTGTATATGCTATGAGTACTGTACGCTGCACAGCCCTGAGAACTTCCCTGTCTTTCTCAGCACACAGGTCGGTCTACCCCGCAGCCGCATATACAACTACAGAGGTGAACATTCCTCGGTAGATTGTAGAAAATGTTCTGCATTTGAGGCCCCATTGGGATCTTGTCAATTTGTCAAGTTTATCGGAGAGTGACCCTACTTTATTTTTCAAGTACTTGCAATGTGACTCGACTATCATACCTCTATCCAAGTAAATACCAAGGTATGTAACCGAGTCTTTAAATTTGATTTTTGACTCACCTAGCCTAACATTGGGTGATCTGCTTTTGAAGTTTACTTTTCTTTTCCTATTCTTTGATCTCCTTCCTTGGCGCACTCCTCCCTGTTTATCGACGTGGGCCCTTCTTAATTCCTTGCTTCTGAGCAAGATTGCCTCAGTCTTCCGCTCGGAAATTTGAAGTTTGGCTTTACACCATTCAACAATCTGGTCTACCAGTACCTGGCTTTCAACCTCTATCTCCCTTCGGGAGTTTCTACTTACCAATATAATGAGATCGTCTGCGAATGCTACGAAGTGATCCTTAGTTTGTACCTTTAGCATCCATAGCAATTCATTGAACATCAGATTCCAGCAGATCGGCCCAAGTATCGAACCTTGCGGATAACCTCTTGTTGCCGACTTTGATATTTTTGTATCACCTATTGAGATTCTTACTCGCCTATTATAATCATATAAGGAACGTAAACGAAATAGCTTCGAAGAACTTCGAAGACATTCTTGGGACATTCTTTCAGTTTCAAACCTTGCAGTACTAAGGGCCACCAGACGTTGTCAAAGGCACCCAAGATGTCGAAGAGCAACGCCACAGTGTACCTTCCTTCGGAAGCAGAGACTGCTCGCCGCAGCTCCACGAGCGCGTCCTCCATCGACTTGCTCGGCATAAACCCGAACTGTCGATTGGAGATCCTTCGCGGCGCCAATGCTGTGTCAGTTAGGCGCATTTTGAGAAGTTTCTTGAAAAGTTTCCCTATTACAGAGAGGAGGTACCTCGGATTATAAGATTTTGGGTTCTTCTCGTCCTTATCTTCGCCCTTCAGAAGGACTCGTAATGAGTCCTTCTTCCAGATCGCATGGAAGACGCCCCACAGAAGGCACCCATTAAACACTCTTAGGAATTGTTCAGGAATTTCTCTTACTAATATTTTTAGTACTTTAACTTCTAACAAGTCCATACCTGGAGCTTCATCATTGTTGAATATTTTGGCCGCTACGATCAGTTCCTTCCCCGTTAAAAATGTGGCATCTGCCCTATCTGACGCTGTTTTTGCTAGACTTCTTATTTCGCCTTGTTCTTGCGTACCTTAAGTCATCTGGTACGTGTGTGTCCAACAAGCATTGTGCCGTTTCTTCTACGGTCTTTGTCAAATGCTCACCTCTTCTGAGCATGCTTATGACCACTTTTTCACTTTTAGTTTATTTGCTTGTTGCTTATATACGAAGCCCTATGGCTTCTTATTGCCGCATTCTGTGACAAATTTTTTCCAACTTTCATACTTTGTTCTCCTTATCGCTCTGTTATACTGGCGTTGGGATTCTCGGTATTCTTGCTTTAAGGTACTGATTGTTCCAATTTCCGCTTCAGTCCTTCGATTCCTTGATCCTTTTAATCCTTGGATCATTTTCCTTTTGTGGCTCACTTCCTTTTTCAGCTTTATAAGTTCTTTCGTCCACCACGGATTTGACTTCCTAAAAACTCTTTTCCTCGGCATTGATTGTTCGATGCCTCTAAGATAATCTGCTGTAGTTGTTCGGCCATACTTTCTGCTTCTTCCGTAGATCCTGGGTCGAGGGCCCCAAGCCTTGATCCAGATAGATCTTTCAGGCTCTCACTGAATCGCTCTCAATCGACCCGACGCGTGTCGAACCTATTGTTTGCCGTTATGTGGTCATTTGTCATCCTTGGCATCCTCAGCCCGCTCTCCACGGGGCTGTGGTCACTGGTTGTACATTCTCATACCTTCCATGTGCCGTCGAGTTGGCCTATTCGAGGAGACACTAGGGTCACTTCTATTAAAGATGATCCCCTTCTCATTTTGAAGGCGTGTCTCTAATGGATTTCGTTTATTATCTCAGAGCCAAACGCACGAATGAGGATTTCGAACTTTCTTTCTCTTTCGTCAGTCTCATGGGAGCCCCAGAGCGACGATCGTGCGTTTGCATCTACCGCCACTATGAGTCCATCGCCCCTCAGGGAATGAAACACTTTCTCGAAGTACCTGAAGTGGCCCTCAATTTCATTGCTGTACTGAAAATAGCATGACACGACGTATATTGATAGGCCAGGAGCCCGCACTTCCGCATATACACAGTGGGTCATGCTGAGCTGTGAGACAAATATCATCTGCAAACAAGGGTTGCTGATTGCTACCAACGAGGGCGTTCCGAGCGCACTACAGCAACTTTCATCCCCATTCCTAACCCACGAAAGGTGTGGCTCTCACCTTGCTTCCTGACATATGGTTCCTGTAATAACAGGATGTCAAGTCGCTTTTCGGTGATGATCTGACGCACCTCACTTGTTACCGCAGCTGACCGCCCCACATTCAGCTGCGCAGTATCCTAATTCCTACTGACATTGAGCTGGAAAATGATGCCGCTTGAGTATCTTGTCTTTGTGTATCGCATTTTCGCGTATCGCATCTTTCTAGGACTATGCGGACTTCACGATGGTACCTTTTGTTTATTTTTGCCTTTTGCCCTTTTCGTTGGTGTGCATATTGCTTTACCAGATTATCACATCGTTCCAGGGCTATTGACTGCGCGAAAGTTGCTAACTATGTTTATTGATTCTTTTCGGGTATTGGATTTTTCCGCGACTACTCTTGCCTCTTTAAGGTTCGTCATCCTCATCTTAGTCAGAGGTCTACCTTTACAGCACGCAGAGTTCTAGCTGTCTTCGTAGGCTTTGCTTGTACATCGCACCTCTCCAGAATTATCCTGACACTTCGACCCTTTTTAATCTTAGCTACTTTCCCATCCTTGGTATTCATCCTTCGCTATACTTTGCTATTATTGCTTTTGTTTTCCATATAATTATAAACTTTTATTTTGGTAGAGAGAAAAAGTTGAGTGGCGTACCCACCTATACGCCATTAAGTCTGACTACTCTAGGGGAGCGACAGGTACCCTGGAGGCGTCGTCCGAGACTGCTCGATTTACGTTCTGTAGTCATGCAGACACTAAGCAACGACTTCCTACACCTTGGCCTTCGAACGAGCGCCATTATTTGGAAACGCTTACCATTAAGCCATTCATCCATCGATGTTTGATGTGAGCTGAAAACCATCCGTGCGTTATGTAGAAAACCACCCTGGTTCCGCCATGGCCCGAAGTTGATCCGGACCGCGCCGGCCCTAGTGGGACCACTCGCCTATCACCACTGTTCATCCCCTCGAAGAAAGGGCAGCGACGGCAGGGTCGCTCGCACGACTACACTACAATTGTTGTGGTCACCACTAAAGTTATTGGCCTTTCCGGCACTACTCGTGGCTATGCTGTATTAGTTGGCCTCCTTATAAGGAGCCAACCCCGACCCCAGCACCAAAGAACCCCCAGCAGGGGGATCAAGGCGCCAAGAGGGTCGGTAGCCTCGGGACGCCTTATCAATACCGTTAATTCCGTCAATTTGTACATGGTGTTTCATACGCAAAGATCATTATTTTCTCATTCTCTCATGATAGGCAGATTGTAACCGCCTCGACTCTGACGCTAGATCGACGATGCGATGCTGAGACGTCCAGAAATACGTTCGTAGACCGTTGCCCTTTTCGGACACTCAATCGAATTGCTTTTCGCTAAAGATTACAAGTATACACGGAAAGGATCGCTCCTTCCGTCACTCGCATCCGTGGAGTTGATGTTCAGTAAGCGCGACAATACATCCGATAACGTTCGTCTACGAACGAGGAAAAATCGCGTGGCCAACACTATGTGCGCGCTACATAAGAGTCATTCGGTCTTTCGATACCGGCAATGCTGTGTTAGAATACTCATACAACAGCAGGATTTATACACGCTACCATGTGAAAGCGTTCTCTACTTCGAAAGAAGATTGACGTCAAAGGAAGAAAATGTATAAAAACAGCCAAAGCTTGGAAGTAATTGCATAGCTTTCATATTAAATGAGATTCGATACGAACTCAATGGTGTGGAGATTGACCGTAACAGAAACGTTAAAATAACCAGTACCCTAAAATCTACATAACGTTATTAATGGACGTTGTACAAAGTCTACATAATGCTGGATTTATACACACTGAACATACTGTGAAAAGTTTAAAACTTTATAAGCATGTTGTTGGACTTTTGCGAAGATTACAAACGTGTGATAATCAACGCTCATCACGAATTAATTTTGATACGAACGCGCAATAGTAACAATTACAGAATGGCTTTTATTTGGACACGTTACAATTGGACACGTTGCAATTGGACACATTGCAAATGGACACGTTAATATTGGACACGTATCACTTGGACACGTTAATATTGGACACGTATCATTTGGACACGTTAATATTGGACACGTATCACTTGGACATGTAAATATTGAACTAACCCTAACCTAACCCTAACCCTAACCTAACCTAGAGTCCTATATTAACATGTCCAATGTTACCTGTCTAATATTTACGTGTCTAAATTAGTGTCCAAAATTAACGTATCTAATATTAACGTGTCCAATATTAACGTGTCCAATATAAACGTGTCCAATATTAACATCTCCAATATAACGTGTCCAATATAACATTTCCATTTGCAACGTGTCCAATTGCAACGTGTCCAATTGCAACGTGTCTAATTGTAACGTGTCCAAATGAATCACTCCCATAATTACATAGTGGGAGATCCAGCGACAGAGCCGACGCTTGAATTATTCAAAGTGCAGTGGCGAATGCCTCACGTTGCGTTGAATGAAGTTAATAAACTATCCATGCTACGAGCCTTGGAAAGTGGACGATATCTAAGTATGAGTTTCCGTTCCTGGAAACTGTACGAGTATTCCTGTATCGAACACGATGAAGCATTCCTGATCATCAAGACTGCGACTCAGTTAGAAAAACCACGATATGTTATCTTTACTATGCAGACTAATAGAAAAAATAACATGACAAGACATAAAACTCACTTCGACCACTGTAAATTAACCAACGTGAAACTTTATTTAAACTCAGAATTTTATCCGTACGATGACCCGAACCTAGACTTTGACAAACGCAGAATAGCTACTTTGTATGATATGTATATACATTTCCGATGGACTTGCTATGAAATCTCCCGCGAAATATACGAAACGTTATTCAATCTGGATGGTTATGCTTTTGTAATCATCGACTGCTCGCGACAAAACGTATCCGTCAAGAGTGGTACCGTGGATGTACGATTAGAATTTGAATTCAAAGAGAATGTAGCCGCGAATATTACAGCCTATTGTCTTATCATATATGACCGCGTGATCGAATACAGCCCAATGTCAAACGTAGCATGCAAAATTACGTAAATTATCGTTGTAGGATGGATAATGACTCTCGATTACCAAACTTGAACTGTTTATTTGTATTTTGCTGTTGCGAAATGCCTTCTTTTACAATGGGTTATATCTCGTCGCCATTAACGTCTAGAGAGTTCTCGTAGCAATCGCAACTTCTACACAGGTTTGGAACTAAAATACGCATTGGTCGGTAAGTTGGCGGGCGTTGAATCGACTGCCGAATCGTGCCATCAAATATGCATGTACAATCGTTAATAAAAGGAAAACACCTCCCCTCTTTTCAATATAAAGAATAAAAATCAAGATATTTTGTAATCAAGCATAGTCTCGAAAAGTCGTTCACCATGATCGTACTAACGTTTGTGGATTTGCAAGGATTTATCGTTGGAAAGAAATTTATTGTGAAGGAAGTAGCAGTGTTGAGAAAAGGAGCTATTCTCTCTCATTACATTTTTACATGTTCCATGCCATGGAACTTCTTGATAAAATCCGAAAAGTATTGCGCTTTCTGGCTTGAATGCTTATACTTATCACCATGGATTGCAATGAGAAGATGGGGGATGATCTCGTACAGCATGATGAAACGCCTGATTACGATGGATATAATTGCTGCGGAAGAGAATGACGACAATAAGGCTCTCGTATACGTTAAAGGACATGAAAAACGTGAAAGGCTGATATACCCGATAGCGACGACTTTACCGTTGAGACTCTGAATGCTGATTACGAAGATATAGGTTCTTTACGAAATCTGGATATTACTAATACTGTGCGATGTGGAAATCATGTTCAGTATTGTGCGTTACAGACTGTATTTAAAATATACAACTGGCGGTTGCAACGCTAGAGAAAAATATATTATATCAAGTTTAAAAAATAAAGTATAAGATTTTTTGAAATGCATTTTTAAATTTTTTCCCTTTCCATATTAATTAAGAATTAATTAATAATATAATAGCTGATTAGTAATATGTATATAGTTTAATAATATTCGATAGCCACTCAATATTTTTAATAATTATTCGATAATTAGGGACGCTTGGCTACATTACTAAAAAAATATTATTAGTTGCAAGTCATATCATTAAAAAAATCATAAAAACAAATACCATTTCTATTATATATAAAAATTTATATATAAAAAAATCGTGTGCGAAAGAAGAAAAGAGAACGAGTGAGTTGGAGAGAGAGGGGGGGAGGGAGATAGATAGATAGATAGATAGATAGATAGATAGAAGCTTTATTAATATCCTAGGGCAAGCCCTCTAAGGATACAACTTATAAGTATAATACATGCAAGTGATTCTGAGGCCGACGCAGCACCCCGAGTCATCGACAACCCAGTCGAATCCTCCGCCGGCGGATCAAGATCAGGCCGGGCGGCGCCCGAGATAATGGAAGCCAGGTGGTCCTGATGACGCAAGCGAATCGGTGGAGTAGAAGAACAGCGTCTAGCGTAAACGAAGCCACCGCGGATCCAGGCACTATGCAAGAGTCCGTCCCTGACAGCCCGATGGGCCCCGGAAAGCATCTGACGCGTAGAACCAAGCAGCCTCTCGTTAACGTCAATGTTATGGCCAGCAAGTGAAGCAGAAACTTCCGATCCATCAAGAACACCCTTGGCACGCTTCCCGTCTATCCAACGGTTACGGATCTCCCTCGGGGAAAGCCTGACGATCAACGATCAGGGCCTATACGTCCTAGCAGGGATACATCTTGAATTTACATTTCGAACATATGTTCTTAACATTCTCTTAAACGTCTTAAGTCTTTCGCATTCTTTTATATTTGCTGTAAGGCGTTATACCTTTTCACTCCATCATAAAATATACTTTTTTGCGCCCTTCTTGTATTTCGAAATTTTATTACAATGTCCCCTGCCAGTCGTGTTTGTCTTTCGTACGTATTACATACTATTTCGAACTGGTCTCTCCGGTAACAAAATTTTTAATATTTTATAGAGAGAGAGAGAGAGAGAGAGAGAGAGAGAGAGAGAGAGAGAGAGAGGGATTGATTGATTGATTGATCTTTATTACTAGCTTTCTTAGTTACTTGCGATACATCTTTAACTTACATTTTGAACAAATGTTCTTAACATTCTCTTAAACGTCTTCAATCTTTCGCATTCTTTTATATTTGCTGGTAAGGCCTTATACCTTTTCACTCCTTCATAAAATATACTTTTCTGCCTACTTCTTGTATTTCAAAATTTTATTACAATGTCCCCTGCCTGTCGTGTTTGTCTTTTGCACGTATTACCTACTATTTCGAACTGATCTCTCAATTTGCTCCGGTAACAAACTTTTTAAAATTTTAAATATGAATATACATACATTATGCTGAAGTCCCTGTTTTACTGACATAAACTGCAACGCTTGCAGCATATCCTTTATTTTAGTGTATTTATCACACTGAAGTATCACTCTCATAGCTTTACGAGGGTCGTCTGAAAAGTTTTGAGTCTAACATAGAAACAAGTAATTTTTCGGTCAAATTCAATTTTATTTTTCCACATAGTCTCCTTTTAAGTCGATACATTTTTTCCAGCGATGCTCCCACCCCTTTAATCCATTCAAATAATACTGAGCGTCTTGCTTTACAAAATAGGCGTCTACAGATGCGATGACTTCCTCGTTCGATGAAAATTTCT